ACAACATCCAAGCCTTAGTACCAAAAGATATTGGGGTCGGTTAACATGAATCGATACATTATATCACCACCAAAAGGAAAAGAAAGAAAATAAAGATAAAAAAGATAAGCAATTATAAAAAGATAATATAAAAAGAGATGAATATACATAAAAATGATAAAATATAAAGGATACAAATAATGGTTATATATAAGGATAAAAAACAAGGAAAAAAGATGAGGGGAAAAGATGATACGAGATCAATCCTCCACATGAATACCCGCCGCCCTCCACTTAGCTCTCTCCAAAGTCATGCCTTCATCCAACCCCAGAAGAAGCATATCACTTCGAACTTCCATAACCCACGTCTGTTTGGGTCTTCCTCTCCCTCTCTTCCCTGCCTCTTCTCCACACATCTCAACTCGTCTGACCGGTGCATCACTCGGTCTTCTACGCACATGACCAAACCACCGTAGGCGCGACTCCCGCATCTTGTCTTCAATAGGTGTTACTCCCACCCTTTATCTGATTGTCTCATTTCTCACACGGTCCTTCCTAGTATGTCCGCACATCCAACGCAGCATGCGCATCTCTGCCACACTCATGTTTTGAATGTGACATTGTTTCACCGTCCAACACTCTACGTCATACAGTAATGCAGACCTAATTGTTGTCCTATAAAATTTACCCTTCAGTCTAGTCGGCATACCTCGATCGCATAGAAATCCTGACGCACTCTTCCACTTCATCCACCCTGTTCTGATTCTATGGGATACATCTCCATCTAATTCACCACCCTTCTGAATTATGGAGCCCGAGTAACGGAACATGTCATTGACTGGTATCTCCTTACCATCCAGACTAATTCCGCTATTACCACTGCTTCTACCTCCACCAAACTTGCACTCCATGTACTCTGTCTTGCTCCAACTTAGTTTGAAACCCTTATTCTCCAATGTTTGTCGCCATACTTCCAACTTTGCTTTAAGACCTGATTGCGTCTCATCAATCAATACAATATCGTCGCCAAACATTATGCACCACGGTATATCACCTCGAATTGACTTCGTAAGTTCATCCATGACTATGGCAAATAAGAAAGGGCTCAAAGCCGATCCTTGGTGCACTCCGATAGTAATAGGGAACTCTTCCGTCCTCCCTACACTAGTACGGACACTTGTAGTACAATCCTCATACATATCCATGATGATGCTGATATACTTGTGTGATATGTCTTTCCTAGTTAAGGCCCACCAAAGAACTTCTCGAGGTACCCTATCATATGCCATTTCTAAGTCAATGAACATCAAATGCAGATCTTTATGAGCGTCTTTATACATCTCCATAAGTTGCCGAAGAAGGTGAATGGCCTCAGTTGTTGAGCGGCCATGCATAAAACCGAATTGATTCTCTGAAATCTTCACAGTTCTTCGACGTCTTTGCTCAATCACTCGCTCCCAAAGTTTCATGGTGTGACTCATAAGCTTAATCCCTCAATAGTTGGCACATTCTTGTACATCACCTTTATTCTTAAATAAGGGATAAGAGTACTCTTCCTCCAACTCGTTGGCATCTTGTTGTTTCTCCAAGATCATGTTGAAGAAACTTGTTAACCACTCGACGCCTCTCTCTCCCAAACTTCTCCAAGGAACACCAAATGTTGTCAAAAAAGGTGGATGTAATATCCGTCCGAGGAAAATTGTATCACAGACTCAACACAATGATGTTGATCTTGATGCTTTTCAACAAGATTTTTTTCAACATACGCCTATTGTTGAGACGGTAAACTATAACATTGAGTTAAGTGATCCAAATGGCAGACATGTTGAGGTCATGCTAGAAACACACCCTCCGCGCCCAACACCTCAAACTGAGTTTGAAATTGTTCAACAGTATGAACAAGAATAAGACGATGAACATGAGGAAGAAGAATGGATAGATGATGATGAAGAAACGGAACAACATGTTATCTATGAAGAAAATAGATTCTGATAGCGATTAATTGTATTGTTAAATTGTTAATTGTATTTTTTACTGAGAATTGAAATTTTTATTTTTCTCCATCGTTATATTAAGTCAATTTTTTCATGGATTTAGTATAATTCAACTCCCAAATAATTTAATTTTACTCGACAATAATTAGTTCGAAATCCTTCACTATAACTTTTCAAGAAAATAAGAAAATAATTACATCAAAAGCTTTCTACGATTTTTTATATTATATTCTACTCAAGATAATTCGAATTTTTGTAATAATTCGAAAATGGAAAATTAATTACATTTTAATAATTTGAAATTTTTTAACATAATTCAGTCGGAAATCTTTCAACATAATTTTTTTATTATACTTTAGTCGAAAATAGTTATAAACTAAAGTATTTACTCGAAAAGTTTTTAATTTGAATCCAATTCTTCCTCATAATAATATTAAGTCTAATTTATAATTTATTAAATTTTAATAACCATTGACATAAAGAATATAAAAAAGTATATCTTCTTGTTTCATCAAATTGACAAGTAGAAAAGACATGAGTTTATTTATTAAATTTAACAACCAACATTACTGAATTCAAATCAATAATGATACAAATTATTAGTACTAACATTACTGATAAATAAACAAACAACATTACTGATAAATAAAAAATTCAGACAGTCAAATGGAAGATACCTGTTTCAAGGCTCAAATTGAATGTTGATGCCTCTTTCTCGACGGAAGGTGCGACAGGTGGTGCAGTGTTACGTTCCAACTCAGGAGACTTGGTGGCTGCTCTATGCTTTCATATTTCGGCAAGATCTAGTTCTGAAGCGGAACTGGTGGCTTTCCAAGAGTCGATTTGTTGGTCGGTCGGGCAAGGTTACAGAGATTTTGAAGCTGAGACTGATTCCATGGAGGTTATCCAAGCTGTTGAAGACTTAGCTCTGGTCGGAAGATGGAGGAGAGTGGTGGATGATCTGAAACGTTGGTCCGTTGAGTTTGGGATAAGTTACCGACATATATATCGGGAAGCTAATTGGCCAACTCATTTTTTGTCTCAATCCAAACTTAAGGTAATGAAGGTGTTTTATGATATGTGTGAGTTGGATAATGTTACCCGTAAATCTATATGGGCTGATATATTTGGTTTAGCTTATTTTCGTTTTTAATTTTATTTTTGTATTTTTCAATTGGGTAAGGTCTAGCCTCCCAATTGTTCTGTTTTCTTTGGTATTTTTTTACTTCTTGTATTTCACGGGAAGGTATGCCTTCTTGAGAGATTTTGGTCATCTAGTCCCCCTCTCGTTTTGTATTCCATTTACGTTATTAATAAAATCTGGTAAATGGCCCCCGGCATTTACCCCACTGATTTTGGGGGTTTGCCTTCCGGGGTTAAAAAAAACATTACAACAAATAACTTCAAATTGAAGGTTTTCCCCTTTGGTAGTAGTGGTACATTTCTTTCCCTCTCCGACGATGCTTGATTCACTGCTTGATTCATCATCGTCAAAGCTTTCAAGAGGCCTATCTAACAGCTCCATAATTTTCCTCTCAGCTTCTGCATTTATCGGTTTCATATACTCTGAACATTCTTTCAGTTGTTTAAGTTTTCTACACAAGAACTTCCCCTCTCCCACGCTTCTTGAGCTTGATTCATCGTCGTCATAGCTGTTAAAACTTTCAAGGGGTTTATCTAACAGCTCGGTGATTTTCTTCATTGTTTCCGCATTTATCGGTTTCATCAACTTTGTACATTCTTTCAATTGTTGGAGTTTTCTACACATGAACTTTCAGTCAATTGGTTCTGGGTTACTCATATTTTTTGCCTTTATAATTTTAGACCGGACAACGCTTGTTTATACACAAACTAGTCAAGGATTTTGTCACGGATCCGTCCGTGACAAATTCGAATTTATTCCTCTGTCCGCGCGTCTTTCTGATGCCCTGCCATTTCGAATTTCAAGGCTTTGTCACGGACGAATCCGTGACAAAAGTCGTGACAAATTTGAAATTTCAAATCTGTCACAGCTTTTGTCACGAATCCGTCCATGACAAAAGCCTTGGTAGCCGATATGCCAGAGCCTCGAGAAGGAGGTGTTGTCTGAAGAATAAATTCGAAATTGTCACGGACGGATTCGTGACAAAATCCGTGACAAAGTGTTAATATAAAAGCAACACTTAACGAATTTTTTATCCCCACACTTCAAAAACCCTAAATTATTTCGGCCCACTCCCTTCTCCCTTCTCTCAACCTTCTTCGTCCGAACTCTACCGCTGTCCACCGCCGCACTTTGCCATACACCGACGCTCTCCGCCATCCATCACCGCTAGCCTTCGTTCGAAGTCGCCGCCGTTCCTCTCCGTTCCTCGCCGTCTTGTCTTCTTCATCAAAGTTATGTGTGTGATTTTTTTATTATTTTTCAAACGTATGTTTATTAATATTTGATTTTAAATGTTTTAAATGCCAAAAAATCCATGTTTTTATTATTATTGTTCAACTTTCATAACAGTTTATGTTACATATATGATTCCAACATCAAACATTTTAAAAAATTCGTCCCCCTCATGTTAAACTTGTAAAAAAGTTTAACATGTTAAATTTGTAATCAATTAATAGTCCAATTTTTTCTCTAAATTAATACTAAAAATATATTGATCTAAACATTAATACACAGTTTTTTATCGGTACAACAACCTGTTTTTCTAAACATTAAAACAAAACAAAAAACTTTATTTTATTATTACAATAGACTCTATTTTCACGTTCCGTGACAAACTTTTGTCATGCCCAATCGGTCACGGAAAAAATCTGTGACAAAATCCGTGACATAGTTGTTTGTCACGAATTTTTTAACTACGATTTGTGACAAAATCTGTGACAATCTCACTGTTTTTTTTGTAGTGCAAGTCTGGACGGATTATACTCGTGAATAGATGTTACAAAAAAATCGAAAAGAATAATCCTCTTGTACTCATCATGAACAATCCCCTTTGCCTTAGCTAATCGAGGTTGTTAATTTAGTTAGCTAAATTTGTGAAGATGCATTGAAACTAAATTTAATGAATAAGATGCTCAAAAAAATTCATCAAAAAATTCCACCGGAAACATCTTAAACGGCGGAAAAAGTCTCCGATAAAAGATGTGAACCGAAAACTGATGAAGTAAACCTTTTGCTTTGTTCTCTGCTTAAACCCTAACCCTAGACGTGCTTCATCATTCGCCGAACAGATGGGGAGGTCCCGAAGGAAATACAAGAGAGCGAGAACTAAGGTGCGCGTGGGACTGCCAAAGAAAAACCCTCATTTATTCAAGCCGGCGTTTAACTTGCCGCCGAAGCTACGGTCACTGCTAGATCCTCTCTCGCAGTGGGACGCAGAGGGCAGCGTTATTGCAAATTACAAGTCCTTCGGCTTTCTCTCAAACCCAAACATGCTTGGCGTGCGCTCTCGCACCTCCCACATCGTCGAAAGCGAGTCTCTTCAGGTCCCGCCGCCCGTGTCCTCCGACGGCCCTGAACCCGATGCCGAGTTTCAGCCTATTGATTCCGGCAGCGATCTCGAGGAAGATGGTTAGTCAAAAGTTCCAATTCTTCCACATACATTATGCGTTTTTGTGCTTGTTAATTTAAGCACCGCTTTTGACGGTGCCATCTATTATCGTTGTTTATTTCACGGTGATAAAAGTTCAAATGTACATTCGCGCAACTAATACTGTTCGCTCAGGCTTGATTTACGAGTTCCTGTTTCTAGATTCTTTGATTCAGAATCATTGATCAATTTGACAATTAGACTGACTTGGGTCCTATTATTTCATCTGATAGTTAACAATACATGTAACCAGAACTTGACTTTGAGGGCATTTAAATTCAATTAGACTGACTTGGGTCCTATTGGAGTATTGGATAATAATATTTAAGAACTTCTTTAACCGCAAATATATGATTTAACAATTTGATCTTGAGACGTGATTACATTTTGAAGAAGTATGAGATGCCCTTATTTTTCTGGAAGCATCATGTTAATATTATTTAGAGCCAGTTTGGTTAGGGTTGTTTAGTTTGCTAAATTCTGATTTCTGAATTTTCTGGAAGGCATTTGTGTCCCATTTCAGCAAAACAAGCTTGTAAAGTGAAACAAATCTGAACAGAATAAGCAGAACAAACCACTTCTGTCTTACCAATCATTTCCCTAATTTATTTAAATGAAGCTTGAATTGAAGTATTTTCTGCGATTGTTTGGTAAAAATTAAAAATTCAGACTGTATATGGTTTTTTCTTAAATTCACATTTCTCTTACTGTGCGGTAACAATTTTTGTGGGTCTCCAGACCTGAAGTCAGCACTTGGAAAGAAGCGGAGGGATGGTCAAAGTGCACCTCCGCAACCACTAACAGCCATTCAACGGGTTTATATCCAAAGACTTGTGGATGAATATGGGGACAATTACCAGGTATGTGTGAGGTTGCCTAGAAACGATTATCATTACTTATCATTGAAGTTGTGATGTCAATTCTTAGTTCAAAGTTTGAAACATCTTAATTTGTGGGATGTAACAGAAAATGTTCATGGACACAAAATTGAACAAGATGCAGCACTCAGTAGCAACACTGGAGAATCTGTGCAAAAGATATCAGTTGTACCGTGATAAAAACCCCTTGATTGTGGGTGTTTAGAGAACAATCAAATCTTTTGTACGTTAAACAGAACGAGTTTATTTATGCTTGTAATGTTATAATTTTGCTTTTTTCTGTGTGCTTATGATTATAATTTGAGCCTGTGGACGATGCTTTTTTGAACTGTGATTGCAATTGATAAGTAAAACTGAGCTGAGACACTTTAATTAATTATTTACCGTAAACATAAAGGATTTTATACAATGATGTTTTCCGTGTTTTGGGGAAGAAAGACTCATGTATTCATGTTTTAGAGATAACAAGGAACAAATTTCACTCGTGCACTTCTATCCAACTCGATCCCTGGGCCCTAGCCCCTAACTATGCATAAATTTCAACGTTTCCTGTCAACAGAAGACTACATTGTAGTATTATACTCTGTATATTGAGAAGAATATGTATAACTACATTTATAATTATGAGTATTAGGCCGAGTAAGTTTGTGTCGAATAGAGCAAGCCTGTTTTGACACCAGGCTTTTCACATTTGTGGAATGAAACAAGAAGGCAAGAAGTGTGGCAATGAATGGATAATATGTATAATTTTCGTAAAAGAGCAAGATTATTAGTGGAAGGCTGAAAGAAGAAAAATGAAAAGGCGAGATTTATGTCTAATAGTATACGGAGTACTTTTTACTCCCGTGCATACAAGTATGTACTCATTTGACGTTAATATGGTTGACTTGACTAATGGAATACTAATATGGAAAAATTTGAAGTCATAACACTTGATTTTAATTAAAGTCGTATCATCATATTATCGTTGATTTTCAATTTCTCGGTGTCTTTGGAAGATATCGGCATAGCAAGCGTCACAACGCTGATTCTTCCGGTAATCTTGAATTTCGCCACCACTTATCCATCGTCTTAGCATCACCGTGAAGTGAAAGTAGACATGAACGTGAGGACCAAAACAATAACCTTTCTTGAGAGTGTGGTGGATAGATTTGAGGCCGTCCTCCGTATAGAGGCAATTCCAACAACGAAGGTGTCGATAGAGGCATTGCCGGTGGCCAAGGTCGGTGAAGAAGGGGTCGACTACGCATTAATAAATGATTGAGAATTAACGGTCTTGACCGATTTGCAAGTTCAAGATGCCAAGAGAAGCCGAGGATCGAGATAGCGACTCAAAGGTGTTTTCAAACAAGGTGGATGGTGAGTTAGATTTTGTTGTCTGCCACATAAGCATTTATAAAGTTAAATTCAAAATTGTACTCAGCGCTAAAAGACAGTTTATATTCTTGTGAATATCATATGCAATATAAGAGACTCTTTACTCAGGTGTGTAATGGTTAATGTGTGCATTTGACCCTTTTCTTCAAAAAGAAGGATGGGAACTTGTTCCTGAAAGACATAAGGAAACTTTCCGAATAAGAGCTTATCATAATCTCTAACTATATTTACTAAAAGCATGACATAAAATGAATAAGAGCTAGTAGGATGGTGGACTGCCGGCAAGAGTTTAGACTGTGCCGGAGGTACGAAAAATGCAGCCCAATTTTTTGTCCAATTTTTTGTCCAATGCCCTATTGGAAGGGAGTCGGCTGGGGAATTCAAAATCCTGCAGCTCATAGTTTCCTGGTGAGGGTTGAAACGTGCTTCTCATAGGGAAATATGGCAAGCAAGAAATGAAAAGGGGTAGCAGAAGGTGGATAGTGCTGCAGAAAGAATTATAATATCTGCTAGGTTCTTGCTGGTGAGTTGGTGCCAGGCTGTTGGGTGTGGGAGGAAGAGAGCTGCGGTATTCATATGATGCGCACAGATGGAAAAGTCCAGTGGAGCGCAACTCAGAAGGAGAATTTCTGGCTAGCGGGGCGCTGTCGGGACTGAGTTGGTGTCCCCGAGGGAAGCAGAGGTGGTAAGTGTAAGTGTTTTGGGTTGGATTAAGATAAAAGGGTGAAATTGTTTGGAGGTCAATCGGATTCTTCTCAGCCTCTCAGCCTCTCAGGTAGTAAATGTCGTTCTTTAAGATGCTGGTGAATCTCCTTCGGATTAATTATTGATTATATAAATGCGATGAAAACTAACTGTTTTACCATGAACTTTTCTTATGTGAAACAATTAGCAAACCAGATAACCCACATTCTGACTGAGGTGACCGTTTCTTTGCATGAATGCATGATCAAGGAGTGTAGTTAGATGTTGCTCCTTTTTCTATTCAGAATTATCTTGATTATTATGCCTCGATTGATAAAAGTTAGTTTTATTTTCTTCAAAAACATAATTGGAGCTTGAGGTAATTATAATAACCGAAATACGTAGTGCCAAACAGTGATTTAGTTCAGAGATGCTTCCATTTAAAAGAACACACCATGCTAGTGTATCACTCATACATGTACTCGAACCAGTAAATAGTTACTGAGCTATCCAGATTTCATTCCCTCCACAAATACACAATATTGCAAAATGAAAATATGTTTTTATTATCATTAATTTTACTTTTAAAACAAGGGATAATGCTGGTTGTACAGCTTCTCTCGAAGATATGACCACAAAACATTACTAAGTTCCCGGCATAATGACGATGGGCTTTTGGTCTTCAACTAATCAGTCTGAATCTGAATCAGGATTGACAGATGACCTTACTGACCTGCGTTGATTATCATCATCTCTCTCATCATCATCTTGTTTGTTCTCCTTAATCATTCCTGGAAACCCATGGTCTAGTCACAAGCCAAATTCACCAATATAAAAAATTCTATTGAAAAAACATTACCTTTTTTTAACAAAAAGGCCTCCAGTGTTTTTGTGGAGAAATCGTCCTTTCCTCCCAACTCCTGAAACCCAACCAGCCTATCTGTAGCAATTCCATTCCTAAAAACCAACAAAAAATCCACTTTTCAGGCTATAGAACGTTATGTAGCATATCTATTTTTTCTATAACTTGAGGAAACATCCTTCACTGCCCTGGGCTGAGCACCACAACACAACCGCTCTGAAACCAGCCACAGTTTCTGAAACCAAACCCCATGGCAAACATGAGAGCACCCGAAAAGCTAGATCATCCCGTAGATTAATAGAGCTAGGGGTTGAACCTAGGTGGGATAAGAAACTCAAGAAACTAAATCTTCCAAGCACCCCAGAGGGACTACCTTGTCCTGTTTAAGTATTGTGTCTGTATGAACGCAAAGAACACACAGATGGAAGATACAACAAAACAAATATGCATGCCCACCCTTACCCCATTATGCTTACAAATTTTAAAGCTTGACCAAATTTTTTCAGGCTCTAAATTAACTAATTAAGGCTAAGGTTGACTCAAAACCCGACAAATGCTCACTCCACCCGCAGGGGGAGGGGGGATCTTAACCAACAGAAAATGAAGAAGAAAAATTGCCAACTAATGAATACACAAGCGGCTTGAAATTGTAGGTGACAAGGTACAAATATGAAAAAATAATATCACAAACATGCACATTGTATGAGATGGGATAGACCTGAAAAAGATGACACATGGGAGAGTTTTGATTCCGAGCTTTGTAACAAAAAAGGGAGCATTCTGCAATTAATTATGAAATGAAGATGAAAACAATCCTCAACTGGTAACTAAAACCAAGAAAAGGACTTCTACTCATAAATATATAAGCTTAAGTGAGGTAACCTCTGCATCCAATTTAAGGAACTTAGTATCAAAATGCTTTGGTGCAAGTGACTTCAAATGCTTATCCATTATCCTGCAAAGCTCAACAGCACAAAGTGATTTTAATTTTGCAAGAACTAACTAAAGTTATGCATGACTTCATTAGGAAAAGACAATCACCCAAAGACAACCAACAAACAGAAGCCATTTTTTGCTTGGTTCGCTGAAAGGTTAAGAAAGAGTATGAGGTGACTTATTTTCAAAGCGAAAATGTTTTCTATAGCAAGAACAGTGCTTTCACTTTAAAAATAAGCCTCCTGAAAGAAATTGAGAAAAAGAGCTTTAATTATTAAAAGATGACTTTTTGCCCTTACCAAAGAAAGAAAGCACCGGGTGGGAGCTTTAAAAAAAACAAGCAAACACTCTTAGTGATTCAACAAGAGAGCACATTTTATAAAATAACTTGCAACAAAAACCATCCCAAGTAGGCTCGAAACCAACTTCAACAAGAGATTGAATTATGATGAAAAAGTAATTGTGTCAGTTTCCTTACTTGCAACGGTAAAACTCCCGATGGGAGAAGTGACAAATCGTTTTTTCACTACCAGTAACTTCACCTAAAAAATCTCCTTCAGTAATCTCTCTATACTCTCCATGCCCTTTCTTTTTCAATTCTTGTCTCTTCTCAGCTTCTTTCTGAATAAAACCAGTCAAAATAACACATTTATAATAATAGAGTTATTCTCATTCCTAAATTAAATATGTCAAAGACTTGAGGTATCGACAAGCCTAATACTAACCCGGAGAGAAGCAATCCTATCAGCATGCAGCTTTTCCAACTCAGGATCCTGTTTATTTGACAAACAGGAAGATTAACAGTCCTTCTTAAGTGCAAATAGTGAGAAATGAATATACATAGGCAAACTTACATCCATTAACTCATCAAGATCAACCACTTCGTTAGCATAACTTGAAGTCGCTGCCTTGTCATTTGATAGCAATTCCTGCACAAAAGAATATATGTTAACATTGAGACCTTAGCTAAAGAGAGCCTCCAAGATAGAGCTACAAGAAATAATTAAGACCACATTGCTGATAGTCCAGATAAGCAAAGACCTAAATTAGAGAGAAAGGACTGTATAAAGGTGATGCATTTTCTACTTATAGCCCATTTGGTAACACTGTTTTTCGGCTTATCAGGCTTATTAGCCAACTTTTTCACCAAACATGTAATTTTTGATTTCGCGCGCTGAAATGTGTAATAATAAGAAAAAGTAAAGTTGAAGTTACTTTTCTGGCTGTATCGACTGAAGTTAATGTAGAGGACCGTTTAGCTATTTTACATATAATTTTTTCTTTATTTTATTAATAAAATATATTTTAAATGTAATTTTCTCATAAATCAACAATCGCAAAACTAAGTGGGACTTTGTTCCATAGCTTCTTTCTTAGGAAACATTAAACTAGATTCGCAAGTAATAACTTTTTGTCTATAAACTCAGAAAACTACTACCTCCCTCCCACTGAGTTTGGGACAAGAGAAGGTGGCACCATTATTAAGAAAAGTGAGGCTATGTGGTTAATATTAAATTGATAAAGTAAGAATAAAGTAAAAATCATTCATAGCCACACACTTTACCAAATTTGGTATG